TATATATATATATATATATATATATGCATGTATATATTTATTGTTTTTCAGGGATATTTTCGAATCTACCGAGGTGACGGGACGTGTGGTATAAACGCTGATGCTACCAGTTCCGTCATACTCTGATCGGCGCCAAAATCAACGATGGACAGTATTACTTCATTAGTAGTAGTTCTTATAATCAAATTTTTATCCCGGTCATCTTGTTCTCACCAACATTACTCTAATGTCCTCCGTATAGTGTTCATACCCTTTCTATTTAATATTCTGTCCATCAAGAACTGGTCATTTTCACCACGATATTTGTTCACAACTGTCCTCATCCGCAAATGCAACGGGCTGTAAAGTTATTGCACAATCCTTCTTTTCCGATTTGTTTTTCAATGTTTTCGGTGGGGTGGGGTTGACTACTCTGAACAGGTTCATGGAGGGTTAGGTACGCATCACTCATCCAACCTGAGGATTTCTTTTCAGGCAGAGAATGAACAAAATATTCCAAGATAATGGCATGTTCAGGAGATTTCGCACGAGTGGATCAGGCCTCACCACGATTGTAGTATGACTCGATAGGTCGGTTGAATAAGTCACTCATCTATTTTATTGTACAAAGTTTCCATTTTGTTGCTTTGAAAAGCACTAATTTTGGTTAAAAGTTCAGCGTCTCTCTTGCATCTGAAAATGCTTAGTTAATAAGCTCGCGGTCATTATTGATTCTCGTCGTCCATATGCATTAGCGAAAAAATCGTGGAGTTCGCCCCATACATAATGACACGTTAGTACCAACGTCTGATAAATCGAGACGTGACAGCGAGACTGTCCAGAGTGTTTAAACCTTGGAAAACTCACGCACGCTGTTTACACGGTAATTGAGACGTGACACAATCAGCGCATGCACGTGAACGTTTTGCAATACGATAAAAATTGTATAAACAGTTGTTACAGTCCTCGGAACACCAAACTCAACCAATAAACGAACTCTAAACAAAGAAAAACCATGGTGTGATCAAATTCACAGTCAAATTAATGAGGATCAGTGGATTAAACGTATCTGATGATGACTACCATAGTTTTGATAAACTTTAAGGGTAGCACTGGACTATGATACGCTTCTTTGAAGTTTTTGAAATCAGTGTGGGAGCCAATGTCGTGTCAACAGCCATATTCGACTTGGTAATTATGAATTAAGCAACCCGGTGATTATCCATTGTTCAAACACTGACCTGAAGGTTGTGGGTTCGAAACTTTTCAAGTTTCGTGGTACCCAATGAGGACGAGGCACCTGTACAGTTATTCTGGGCTTTTCAGTATAGATTGGCTTCACTGACAGAATGAAATCTCTACTGAATTACTGATTATTAATAAATGGACGATTCCATAAAGTGATCCATGATAGTCATGCGCCCCAACTTCATATGAAGTAATTAACCGGAACCTCTGTGTGCTGTAGACCCCGGTGTATATTTATGGTAGCCAATTCGTAATTGTGCAAACGACCTACCATGACCTACCACGTTCTTCACACACACCGCACCAAACAAGTCAAGAGTAAAAACCCATAGGTTGATGATTGACCAAATGGCCGTTTATTTGTTCGCCGAGCATGACAATCAGCTTGCAAGCTTATCCACAAACTTGGACTTTAGCCAGACAGAGCGATGAGGTGATGGTCAGACTAATGAATAAATATGGACACATTTGTATTAGAAAGTACGACAGAATAGTCAATAAACACAGGCCACCCTGCCTTAGGGTATCGGGACCTGAAATGATACGACTGTGTGATGCAGTAGAACGATGCAAGATAGTTGCCAAGCTCGGCAAGCAGATAAATGACCCGGAAACGTACCCGAGCTATTAATAGTTCAACACGCTAACAAACCCACTCCAATTTGGGGGCCACCGCCCTTTCCTCCGGGCTTATAAGGACGCCACTGAATAAAACCTAGTTGAGCCATCAAATGCCAGGCGCATTAAGCAGCAGTCTAAGAGTAGAACACGCGTAGCACCGTTAGCCAGATATTGCCACTGACAACACATCCAAAGGGTGTTGCTTCGGGTCACACCAAGAAGTCAAGTATTTCCTGTGACTGATCTCGCATTCTAGCGCAGCAGCAGGTTCGTCTGCGTTCGTGATCCTGACACAGTATGGTCAATTCTGATTTTTTTCCCTACATTCCTTTTCTGGTCGTCCCAGGAGGACGCAATTAAGACATGGTCTCATACATAGATAGGAACAAGTTCAAAATGAAGGTGACTTAGCACAAAACTGAGCTTTTGTTGTCATTTACTTTTAAAGTACTCATCTCAGGACGCAGTCATAATTGTTTATCAAAGTAGCCGACTGAGCTAAACTATGGATAGTCAAAGATACCATGTTCCATTCGATGAGATATGTTTGCACATGAAATGCCAAGCACGGCACTTTAGATTCAACAACTCAGAAGTCCATCACGGTTAAATTACCTGTGTATAATTTGAGTTTACTTAAACGATGAACTGAGCACCACTGTTCAGACAAATTCACTACTGATCAATCACGTAGAGCACATTCTCCTTTGAGAATCGGATATTATTTGGCACCCTTCTCAGAAAGTGCATTCTGAAAGGACTGCAATTCTTTGTTTTGGGATTGACTTCCTTCAAACTGGTGTCTTCAGATTAGAGAAATTTCGCATCCTGTCTGAATCGAGTGAAGCAATACAGATGAATATCTGAGACAGCGAACTTGGCGCACTCATCATCCAGATATCTAGGGTATTTTTATACAATATCAGACAGAGATATGCTAAATGATAGCAGACTATCAGTTAATACCCATCATTAACTATAAGAGCCCAACGATTTCTGCAGACAGGGCATAAGTTCATCGATACTAATAGCAACAACTAGTACTCTATTTCAGAGAGTATATTGGATTATGAATCGTTTGGATTTTTAACCTAACCAAGCACAAGCTATTTAACAATCCGGCGAGTACACTAATTCTCCAATAAAATGATGTTATCCGTCTCCCGAGGAGTCTCATCTTGTGTCAAGTACTCAAAGAATTCAATTTTGGAACGCTCGCGGTTTCTCATGCTGATCCGGTTCTTTTCTTGTTGCGAACTGTCCGTGTATTACTGAATGTTCAACGATGCCCAAGCTTCCAGCTAATCTGTCGGTTTGTTTGACTTTTCTTTCCACCGATCAGCTGTTGCTTGGAATATCAGGTCCAATTAATGATAAAAATACACACGATACTCTGATGATATTCCACCTCTTTGGTGTGTGAGTCTTTCGATAGAATTGAATAATGAAAACCACACGTTCAGTTTCCGGTAATAGGAGGTCGAGGAACAATGGCGGTTTGTGTGATCCCTGCCCTGAAGTACATCACAGAGCAGAGAGGCTACAGATGTTGTGGTGGGAAGCCTTGGGGACCTTAGTGCTGGATCACCCTTCTAGGAAAGCGATCTATTCCACTAGCTTGCCTTTGGCCGCCCAAGCCCTTCGGTCAGGGAGATAACTCCACATATTCAATGTTCATCTAGCTTACCTTTGGCCGCCCAAGCCTTTCGGTCAGGGAGATAACTCCACATATTCATTACCGCTGGAGATAGGAGGAATTCTGTCAACATTTTCTTCTACCTAGATGGAGTGGACACTTTCTCGAGGGAGTTATCTGTGCCAATATAACCAGCAAGTCAGCTGCCGAAGGTAACGCAGGTAACGGGATGCAAGGAAGGAAATTCGCCCCAGTTTGTCGCTGCGGTGTGATGTCCTAGGGTAATACCAACTGGTCATTTCATATGGTTCTGGTGTTTGCACATAAGTCACTCTCTTTCCTCATTTAGGGGACCAGTGAATGAACCTAATGTTCTGCATGAGTAAACAGCAACACTGAACAATTTCTGCTGGACGTCCAGCTATAGCGGCCCATATATCGCACGTTTGGTGACATCCCCAAACTGCGCAGAATGCCCAAGTTGCGGAAAAGTTAGAAAAATTTTGAGATCATTTGGATACGGAAGGCACAAGACTAATGTTTTTCGAGCGAACCATTTGCATATAAAATGAACCCTAGAGCGCCATGATGGTCCCCACTCTGAACTGCATAATGAGCTGAGAATAGGCTGTTTTCTCCCACCAAACTTCCGCGAAAAGTTCAAGACCAAACCTACTAGGGGTACAGAGCACCGTCGTGCCTGAATAAATGCCTCAAAACAACGATTGTCATAAACTGTCAAAAGACATGTATAACACAAATGTAAAAACAATTTCTGTTCACTGGCGGTGATTTGGAATAAAGGAATAAGGGCTACTGGTGTGCTTTGATACTTGCTAGCTCAAAAGGCTTCCGTAGTAGACCGCGAATCTATTGCATTGTCCAATTTTTAATCAGATAGGTTGCTTGTCGAGGCCCGTTATTTTCTGTGCAGGATGAATTGATGAATGCAATCTTTCATGCAGTCAGAACTGATATGATCTTCATGTACCGTTATGAACAAGTGTGCGTTGGCAGTATTTCCCGCCCATCTATTCGAGGTCTTCAACTACTCGACTTCAGCAGAAAACCTTCTGAAAACCCTCTAGACCAGTCTACATGTACAGCATTTTTTCAGCATGTTATCCATTCTCGGAAGTGGTTGGGTAGCAACTGCTGTCTTCACGGAACAAACTGGCCGCAAGAATCTTGCGCATTATTTTCATACTACAATTAGGTCCCCATTGGAATCCACGCTTTCTGTAACCTACTATTTGTTATTCTGTTATTGGAAACATCCCTGCTGATTCGTCACCGGGATCACACTCAGAAATTTAGACATGGGAATTTGTCATTGCTGTGTCACCAAGCACTGTTATTTAGTGGTTTTGGATAATCTGAATTGGTCGAAAGACAAAGCACCGCTGCCTACTTTGGGCCGTGTTTTCTTCAACGAAACTGTTTCAGACAGACTAAACACAATCTCTATGCAGAATCCTGTCACCAACCGTTCATAACTGTCATCATGCCGAGCATACTTCCGTTTTAGCCAGAGAGATCTAAACGCTGGAGGCAGCACTCACTGGCTGTCAATTACCAAGACCTTAACTACTCTTCTAGATTCATTCATAATGCGGAACGGATTTACATGGAATTCTACTGCACCTGAATTGACACCGCCAAGAAATACGCGGCCGGTTTTTGAACGATGGATGTGCGTCTATAGACAACTCGAAAATGCTGGATTACCGAAGCTGAAAACAATTTTCTACCTTAGAAAGAATGCCTGGTCTCTAATTTACAGGCTTCCGAAACTGCTTTATTATGAACTGGATCAAGACAGCTGCGTCTGCGATTTGGCTCTCCAGATGCGATACAAGTGTGATTTTTGCCGATATCGGGCAATCACA